CAATACAATAATTTTTGTTGTGCTTTCAGTTTTAAATTATTTTAAAAATATCCAAGGCATAAAGTGGTCAGATAGATAGATAGTTTTGCTTTAAGCACAGATAACACTTAAGGCCCAGTTGCATACTGTTCTACATATTGGAAAGCCATTTATATATGTAAGTAAAGAAGATGGAAACTGCTACCAGGTAGTTTACCCCTTACAAAACTGTAGACACTTGCACCAGGGCAGATCAGGTGAGAATCAGGTAGCTGGAGTCTAGATTATTATTTGCACCAAAAATAATTTCTATCTTATTATGATTTTAAGGGGAGATCTGTTTTGTGGGATAATATACTTGAATAGTAATATTGATGTAAAATAATGCAAGACTAACTACAGAGACAGCTTTTCATGCTGTTATTTAAACCCGCTATTTGCATTTATATTGCTTCATATGATGGAAGTTGTTTACATGGTATTTAAAAATTTGGGATTTATGAACTCCTGAACATACCTATGGGGTTTGAGCAAAATGCTTCCTCTTTTTATTTTTGTGTAGTATAGTGAAAGACTTACGAGGAAAAAGATTTAATTGTAAAGTACTCCTTAAAATTTATGGAATATTAATCAGAAAACTAAATGAACCTGAAATAATTCAGACACTACCTAATAGTAAATCAAGCCTTATGGTAATTACCCAACCCTAGTAAAGTGTTCTCTAACTGGCATTAAAGCTGAGGTTTCCCAAAAATCTTAACTGGGGAAAGGTGTTCAATAGCAGAGGTGTCTTTCATTTCTTTAAAAATATAATACTTAACATCTAAATGAGTCAGTATCTTGCTTAGAATTGAGAAGTAGATTCAGGACTTTCCAAGTGCAAAAGTTTGAAGTTTCATACTGACAACAGAGAATCCAAGTTGAGACTACTGGTGACATGATGTTCCTCCATAAGCAAGTATCAGAGGTTCGTTGTGAACTTTCCCTTAATTCTCTTTCTGGCTTCAGTCAGGTAAGTTATGGTCATTTTTGTGTAATGATATTAGGCTGCTAGAGTCTTCAGATTTTTCGTTTGTACTGTAATACATATAGTTCAGAAATGGTGAACCTTCAAAAGTTAACCTGTTCTTCTGTGTATAAAACATGTCACAGCATTTCATGCTTCTCATCCTCCAGAGTATGTGAGATTCAGTTACTTCACCCTAGTGCAGAAGCTGTTGTTCAGAAGTGGGAGTGAGGGGATTTGATTAAAATTGATTCTGAAATGTAAGCATCAATTTTGCACATTTGGATCCATACTGATTCAGAAGGTAATTAATTAATGAATTGGTACTCAGCTGTTTCTCTCTGCTTTAATGAGCTCACTGGGAAACACTCCATGGAAGCAACCAGCCCTGGCTTGTGTTGGAGAGGAGATGGGAGCACCAGCAGTGGAGACCACAGTGGGAAAATGGGAATGAATGGCTTCAGGTGGAGCCACCATGGGCAGAAAGGAGAGTACAAAAAGCATGGAGGCACAGGGGTGGCAAAGCAGGCAAAAAAGAGAAATGTTTAAGTTAAGTAAGGATGGTAAGGTGTGAGGAGAAATCATCTGAATCTACAATGTCATCTCTTCAATTTATAAACAATGCTTGAGAGCAAAGCCTGGCGTTAACATTTTGGGGGTAATTTCCAGTGCACAAACAGTGACATTTTTGAGCCAGGTGCTAAAATCCTGTTGTAAGGCTTGTAAGGATCAAAACTAAAGTTTTAACAAAGACATTGGCCTTGTTCATCATGTGTATCCATAACTGTAATCTGTTCAGCTACTTACCTTAATCTATATCTGTAATACTTTGCCTGGAGCCACTGAGCAACATTCATGTTCACTCATGAAGGATTTTGCCTTACCTGTATATTCAGGCAAACATGAGCTGACTTGCACAGGATACTGTACCATTACTGGTTTGCTTCTTCATTCACTGAACTTGTTTACATTTGCCAAAGTCATTTAAATCATTGCTTAAACCATTCAGAAGTCATGCTTACGTGCAAATATTTTTTAACATGTTGCATACATTAAGTATTCATACTTCACAACATCACCTTAAGACTGTCACAAAGCATTAACGTATATTGCTCTAATGTTGTTGAGGGCTTAGGTGGTTTATCCAAAACCACTGAAAGTATCAACACAATTTTCAGGAATGGATCTCAAGACTATCTGTGGACCAGAAGCCTGATTTCAGTTTCTGCAGACCACTTCTTTTCTCCATCTGCTCATGCCTTGTATTTGACATGCAAGTCTGTTGCTCTATTAACAAAGAAAGAGATTCGTTTCAGAAGTGTGTCCCCAAATATGTTTCATTTGAGATTTTGAGAAAATACATGCTGTCATGCAACTTCATAGGACATAATGATATTTTCAGATAAAGCATTTACACAAATGTTACAACATTTTCCACAACTTTTCTAGTTTGATTTATACAAGCAGTCACAAGCAGTGAAAAGTGGCAGCGTCATTAGCAGATCAGAGACAGAAGCCATGTTAGGATGGCATGTAAGGTTGGCAGATAAAATGAAGGCGGCTATGAAGTGTAATGAAATAAGTGGAATAAAATTAATTCCTTGCACAGGAGAAGCCTGAATATATAAGTGTACCCTCCAGAATACAAGCTTTCAGCCAACACGTCACTTAACAAAAATCCAGGCTCAGTGTAGAAGGACGAAGTACCCATGGTTGGGCTAGTGTCTGTATACATGTAGGTGGCAGACAGAATCAGGAGAGATCAGGAAGCCCTGAGGGAAAAAGCAGTTGACATCTGTGGTGGTGGAAGGAAAAAGAGTAGAAAGCTGCAAAGAGAAGGCAGTGCTGTCAGGGTGGAGCCCAGCAAAACAGCCTCTGCTGGGGCATTTTTAGTAAACTGAAAGATATTTCTCGAAGTGTGGGAAGAGATGGCAAAGGACATGACATGTGATGCTGTGGGGTCTGGATGGCAGATTTAGTTTTCAGGTTCATATGAAAAATGCAGATTAAGGAGATATTTTACACAATGCTGTTATAATCCTGATCATATTTTGTAATCTTGGTGGAAAGAACCCCAAACAAAACAGCACAACCAACAACCAAGCAACAAATAAAACAGCGAAAGCTGAATCTGTTCCTTTCAGAGGCCATCATAAGTAGTGATGATATCCCTGGCTCTATTTTACAGCTGTGTGTGTTCCCTGGTTACAGATACTGCTCAACAGCATGAACTTGTTTCTACAAACCTCAGGCTTGTACTTTTGTACCCAATGGGTTTCTGCCATGAGGAAAATAAATTCTTCTTAATCACCACTGTGGCTTCTCCACGCCATTATTTTGGTTCACGTTGCTTATTTTTATTTATAGGCACTAATCAGCATAATGTGCTGTTGCCTACAACAGCAGGATTTGTTGGATACCTTACGACATTTTTTTCCTACTTGCCTATATGTCAGTCATAGCATTTTATATTCTTTTTCCATTTGCAAGAAGCTCAGCAAAGCATTACTCATAAACTATCATAATTGTTTTCTCTGAGAAAAGCTAAGTTGTAGCTTCGATACTTGATGAAAGAAATATGCATTTTACAGAATTTTAACAAGATTGATAAAAGTTAAATGTGCATGGACAGTCAAAGCCACACATACTTTTAAGGCATCGCAGAAAGCTTGTGAAGGATGTGGTATCAGGTGACTGTACAAACCTCAAAAAGCCACAGCAAGTGTGTTTTATCAACCACTTTTAAACAGACACTGCTAGGATTATATGTTTGACTGCCACAGTTAACACAGCTAGATCATGTAGCTGGTTAGAAATATGTATTAATTGCAGGATGAATTGTATAAATTATATACATAAAACTGGAAATAATCCTGTATGGCATGATGCACTATCTGTGTCTGACATAGGGAACTGAGTTCAATTGAACAGTCACACATGTGTTAACTGGCTCATAATAGCCAGCACAGAGCATTTGACCTTCATCTGTCATCTTCCTTTTCCAAAAACTAGCAAGAAAGTTGGAGCTGATCCCAGCATTAGCTGTGTTCTCCCCCAGTCCTCCAGAATTCAGGACTTGGGGCTCAAGTGGAGGTGGTGCCTCACTACTGTAGCTACCAAATACTGAAACAGCATCATTTGAGACTTCCCATTAGTGCCAGTCATGGGAACTGGAATGAAGGAGCCAAACCCAACTCTGTGCAACTCTTCCATTATTGCTACTCAGGAGGACTGGAGAGTCTGGCCCTGAATATATTAAAGGCTGTGAATTATATTCCTCTTAAATTACTGAAAATGGTATGACATTGCTCACCTGTGTTCAACACTGTGCTCACTGGCTCCTGGATATGGAGGTGGAAGGGAAGAGTGCCGCCTATGTCCTCAGTTCAGCAGCTTTCTTCCACATCTAAGTTCATTGGTCTTTAAGATCACTCACCCAGGAGGAAAAGCCCTACAGTTACGCATTTCCATGATTGGAAAACTCTGCAAATCACCATGGAAGGAAAAACTGAGGACAAAAGTTGTAAATAAGCTCTGTGATTGCAAAATGCAAAGAGTTCAGCAGATCAGAACTGTTCTTATAATTTTAGCAAGCTTCACTGACACTTTTTCCAGCTGATTTTAAATCACATAAAAAAAAGCTAGTCCAGTTTAATTTCATTTTCTACTATAGCAGAGACAGAATCCATCCCTTTTCCCCCATTGCCAGCAATGTGGAGATTTCACTGAACTACACCATCCTTCAAAACACAGCTGGTTTAGAGGGCGAGCAAAATACAATTTCTACTGGAGATTGATAGTAGGATGATATCCCTGTTTGTAAAAGTATTTAAGTACTTGCCTAATTTTAGGCATATGAGTATTACCATTTTTTTTTTCTAAGATTATCACATGCTTAAAATGAATACACACTTTCTTAAAATATGTACGGGTTTGGAGATTTAAGTACACCCACATTCTTCTGATAAATGTCAAGTCTTTTGAAACAATTTATATTTCTGGTTTTGCCCCCTAGGTGGACACCCATGGAAATATTCTGTTAACATCGCTTGAAATTCACAACGAGGTGGCAAGCAATGAGGTCACCACTAGTGTTACAGAAGCCCGAAATTCAACGATATCCTTTGACAACTCAGGAATCCAGTACAGAAAACAAAGCTCACATCGTGAAAGCCTTGGAAGGCGTTCATCAGAAAGACCAGGTGCCCACAGCAGGCGGGGCCATTTACGAAGAAGGTCTTCACAACTGAAAATAAAAATCCCTGATCTAACAGATGTGAATGCCATCGACAGATGGTCAAGAATGGTTTTTCCGTTCACATTTTCTCTTTTCAACTTAATTTACTGGCTATACTATGTTAACTGAGTGACTGAACTTTTTTAAAGGACTTCAGTTATAACAAGAGAAGTACTACTTGCCTGCACAGTTTATATATATATTTATACATAAATATATATATATGAACTTATAGACCATACTCATGTATGTGTGAATACATGTAGCAAAGAATTGTGTGTACTTAAAAGCACATACTGCAAAGCAAAAGTATATGTATGCACACACACATGTACACATTGATTCTGAGGTTATGGACACTTTAACATAGAATGCACTTCAGAGGAACTTTTTAAATCAAAAGGCAGGTGTCGTCAAAACAAGCCTTGAGAAAGTAAGTGTTGTATATTATCCCTACAAGACTTTGATTGTCATAGAAATTTTCAAACAGCTGTTAACATGTATAAAGTCAGTACTTAGTAACATTGTTTGTAAATGCTGCCATACACACTGATCATACAGCAGTAGAGTTACACTTGCAAGTTTAAAGTAAGTCATTTATATTGCAGATCCATCAACTATGATTTATTTTTCTTTGCTAAAATTTCTTGGGTTTATATATGTCATACTTTTTTTCCCCATTCCTGAATGGACATTGGTTTTAATCTCTTGCTTTCTCTTCTTCAGTAAGCAAGGTGATCATGGGAGTGTTGCTCTATGTCTTTGGAGACATATACAGGTTCATAATATTTCAAACAAGCATTTTAAGTGTCCATCGACAGTGAAATGCATCTTTTGTAAGTACTGCAAATGTACAGCACATTTTCCTTCCCTTGGACAGGTTCCAGCTGCCATGTCATTTTGAAAGAGAACAGCACATTTTTAAGTATAATTTAGCTGAGAATTCAACTACTGTCAATGTGTTCTACATCTGTTGTAGATTTAAAGATTGTTATTCCAGTGAAAGCATAGAAGATGTCTCAGGTTATTTGCTACTTCGACATGAAACCACTAGCTGTAGCCTTTTTTAAACGTGCATTCACATTATTTAACATTCTTATAACATTGTATGTTAATGTAAAATATATTTGCATAATATGCATATAAGTATATTTTCTCAATATTTTTCTTTCCTGTGCTTGCTATCGTGACCGCATGCTGTGTCATATTTTTGTTTCTGTGATGTTACAACTTTTTATTCTCTAGAATTGAGCAAATAGAGCACTTCTGATACTTTGATTCAGTAATGGAGAATTTTCATATTTTATTTATATACTGAAAGTATATACACGTCCACTTATCAAGGTAGTGTGCTGCCATCACAAATCAGAAGAGAGAGCAAACGGTATGTTTTGTTTCAGCATTAACTATGTTCTAACATATCCTTCATGCGAATGTGACCATTTTGGTTTTCATCTCAGTTCATTCCCTCATGGCCATTCTAACTTTTTTCAGTCTACTAGTAGATTGTAGTCATCAAGGTATGCCAATTGCAGATCTGTAAACTTAATTTGCTATTTATCAGAACTAAAACTTTCTAAAGAAAAGAAGATATATTTTTTGTAAACAGTGTTTCTATCATGTACATTCTCAATAACAACAAATACAGTAGCATAAATAGATCTTAAAAAAAAATAAAACTTCAGGCTTAGCCCTGCCAGTTCTCTGCATGTTGAATTCCTCTGGACATGGGTAGGAATTTTTGGCAGAGACAGTGCTTTGGATGCTAGCTAGAGATGGCTATGGGAGAAAAATGTGTGGATATGCATCTACCAAAAACACCAAAAAGGGATGAAACTGAAAAGGCTGCCTTGGCTCTGTAATGACCTGCATTGTCCCTAGTACTTGATTTATGTGCGAGTAGAGCAACGATACTTGTGTTGCTGCCGTGTACAGTCCATTACTGTTCCCACCCCTGACTATTTGCAGCTGAACTGTGAAACTTTGCTCTGGGCTGAAATTCAGCATAGATGAACCTGGGTTGCAAAGTCTGTGTTGCAATCCCATCCTTGGGGCTGCTCCTTGAACAGGAATGGGCGCCACACAGTTGTCTTGCAGCAAAGCTGCAATGCAATCCCCAGCTGCCGGCATGTGCAGGATCAGCACCGCAGTCCTGCTGCATCATTGGCAGTGGTGCAAAGTGGCTCTAACTGCAGTATTTAAGCACTGTATCTGCAGACAACTATACAGTATGAAAAGCCTCAAAGAAGCCCATATAGCTGGAGCAGAAAAACTTCGTTTTTAAAAGCTTCCCAGTATTATCTCCCATTGGTAAACTGCAGTGTATTATGAGCTTTCTAATACTGCTTCAAACTGTGAAGGGATTAGAGAGCACATTGTCATCATTATAATCAAAGTAACTAAACAATTAACACCCTCGCAAAGAACAGATTTGGTAGAATTGCTGAAAAGACCTCCCAAGTTTTTATCCTAATGACAAAATAGAATTAAACAAAAAGAACTGGTTTTTATGAAATTTTTAAATGGAAGGCTTTGCTTCAGAAAAATTACCGTAATGAAATTATCATCAAGCAAGTCTTTCAGTAAGTGCCCTAAAGAACTACCCTGAAAATGGGATTTAAAAGAAAAGTGGTCTCACCCTCATGGTTTAATCACAGTTAAATTCTATGTTTTCTTCAAGTCCCAGCTCCTACAAATCCTGTGGTCAAGCAGAGATCTTAAACAAGAGGAGACTGTTTAGTTGTGATAGAAATGTATACTCCAAATCTCAGTGAAATCAATTCTCCAGTGGCTTCAGTCAAGATTTCCAAGCAGGTGGAAAATCACTCTCTGGCCAGAGCAAAGGGGCAAGGTGTGTTTTCGGGACCATGCGTAGGCAAGAGAACTCAGTGTCTGAGGTCTCCCCCTCTCTTACCCTTTGCACTACTGGAGGGCAGTGTGTTACTGCAGACCCTTCCATGAAACTGTACTCCCCACCTTGCCTGTCATTGCAAAAAGTGGGCAGTTGCACATTTCAGAGTTTTCACAAGATTTCGTATTCATCAGCCTAGTTGAGTTACAAGGGGCAAAACCAGCTTCAACTTTGAACAGATCCAGGTCTTGGTTTGTCTTGAAAAAAGCCAGGACAATCTCACTGAAGGTTAACACTTCATCTCTAACATGCATTTTTGTGCCTTTTTTTGCCAATTCCCTTCCTCCAATCCCAGCACCACTTCTTGCACACAGACACACACACACAGCCATGTGTTAAAAACAGTGTTTGCCTTGACCTCCCATTTTCTGGCTTTTGTCCCTTTATGCTAGCTGCAGTGTATGATTTTAACATAGATGGCTTTAAAACTAAAAATGGTAATTTCAACAAATTGAAACAGAGTAATGTATTTCATAGCTAATTAACTCCTTTCTAACTCAACACTACTATAAATAACATTTACACACCATTTGTTTGTAAAATGCATTTAAAAATAAAAGGAACTATCTTGTGTTATAGCCTAAAGGGTCATAAACAGTAGAAATATTAAGGTGGTTTAACTCTAAGTTGATTTCATCCCATTGTAAAGATAAACTGAAACCCAGTCTTTTTTGCTTAAGGCACATCTATGTATTTTTGGCATTCTTCAACAGTGAAAAAAAAAAAAAGAATAGTAAAATGGAATGATGAATAGATGCTTTATGGAAATATTGATGAATGAATATTCATTTATTAAAAAGGATTTAAAGATTAATTGTTTACTGTTTTTTCTGGGGATGGAGGGAGAGTGATGACTGTTGAAATTTTAATGTTTAATTACATCCTAAATATCATCTAATGGTTAGTGTTACACAATCAGAAAAAATCACCCAAACCCAATGAAAATTAAAGCATTTTCTTATCAATACAGAAGTAGCAAAAGGGATTCTTAAGCATTAAACTACTATATTTCCTGGTGTTTTCTATGGTAGATTGTGGAAAAGGGAATCCACTGCATCCACTGTCTTAGCAAGACTCTTAATAACAAACCAACCTCTGTTCAAGCTGGGGTATTGCCAGTTAAGAGCAAAAAGTTTGTCCTCTGCCTTGCATGAAAGCTCTACCTGCATAGAAGGCAAAAGAGCACTCGATACCAAAACAAGACAGTGCTGTCCTGTTTATTTGTTTCATTAATGAAGTCATAAATATTTTAGAACCAACCAGCCAAACAAAAAAAAATCCTTTCTCCAGCTATGCTAATTGTATCAGGAATGCTGATCATGTTCATTCCACTTTTTATTGCTAAATATTAGTAAGTTATTTTAGAGAAGTCAGGATAAGGACAGATTCCAGGGTGGGTTTTTAAAGTCATCTGGACAGTAGTTCACCAACCCCTTCCCCCAAAACCAAGAAATATTCTGAAGATTTGGAAAGCAGAACATCCTTATAACCAATTGCTATGCTTTGTGTTAGAACAAGCTGTCACACGCTTAAATCTCATAGTAGCTAATGATACATGTCACAACTTTTAGGAGTAGATAAAATATTCAGCACCCTAGATGTGATTGCAAGGCCTTTGAAGTTACAGAATGGCTCCCTCTGACTTCAGCACATTTCTGCTCACTTTTAACAATGCTTCCCAGATCGTAAGTAACATCTATTTATTCCAGTCCAGTCTATACTGTAGAGTAGGAAAAGTTAATGATGTATCAAGCTTAGTTGTGATTAGGAATATCTGGTAAGAGATGTATTTCTTTGTGTATTTTGGAGCTGACGTAGGATAAACATAATCAATTAATTGATGAAGTACTACTTATTAATTTAAAGGCGTTCAGGTACTAGTAGAAATTATTTGCTGTGTTTCCTGAATAAATATGGTCCTATTAGTATCAAGACTATTTCCACAAATGTTGGAAATAGTGTTATCCTATTTCCAACAGTCATGACTTTATAGTAATGACTGTCAGAACAGCAAACGCTACCTACTAGTAAAAATGTTGCAGACAGCTGATAATTAAACTAAAAGCAATGGGAATCCCAAGGCTTCTCTGAACTGTTTTTGAACAAATAATCTCTTGTAAGTGCCTTCAAACTCCTCCAAATATAGAGTCTGAACTTTTCTAAAATTATTTTACATTTTGGGTGTTTAATTTATCTGGTTCTTATAGTTTGTGAGTGCCTGACACGTGAACTCAGACATATATTTGAAAACTAAACCCTTTGGCAGCTTACTCAGCATACACCATCACTTGTCATACTTGAAAACTAAAGCCACATGGATGGGATATGTAATAATACAAAAAAAAAAAACCTGCTGCCCCTAGAATCAGCCAAAGTTAAAATTACTGCCTAATTAACTGAACTTGAGGTAATGCTTAAGCAAGCACAGTATTTGTTCGGACAATGTCCCTTACCTTGCAATGAGCTAATGCCTTTGCTCCAGCATTGCAGCCTAATTTAGATTAGCACATTCTGTTCCCCCCTGGAAAGAAGGGAAAACCCAGAAAGTGGCTGATCAGGCCAAGTTTGCCACTGGTCTGGCATAGCTCCAGTCAGGTATAGGGAGAGGTGCTGGGTTTTCCCTAGACAGAGCTCCCCATAGCCACTCAGGTCTCTGCTCTGAATCCCTCCTTGAAGGCACCATACTCTCTCCTTTGACTCCAGAGGGAGCCTTAGGCTAAATTCTGAATTATCCCCCAGCTTACCACCAGCAGTTGGCTTCTTTCAGATGTTATTGCTCCTGCCGCAAAAACTGGTAGATAAAGGAGCTATTATCCGAGCTGGCAGAGGATGTGTACCAGCAAACAGCATGTGTACTCAGGGTTGTGATACATCACAGAATCATAGAATCACAGTGTCATTTAGCTTGGAAAAGATCTTTACGTTATTCATTCTAATATTGCATTTAAATATATCTCAGTTTATGTTTTAGCCTTCAAGAGTTAGCACACTTGTC